AGCCATGGTAATATCTATAATTTTAAAACTGCATCAGAATTTATTTTCAATCCCTTCTTAATCAAAATGCTTTCTCATATATCTGAAGGGCTAATGCGGGCATATGTGGTAATTAAATGTAGCACTGCAATTGCTAGCTAATTTAAAATGTTCAGAAATATTTTACGTCAAGTGATACTGACTTATCTGAAGCCAAACCTACCTTTGAGAACCAGTCCTCTACTTGCCAGTGACATTAAATTAAATAAACCCACCCAAAATTATTGCCCCCACCCTTTGTCCTTATCAGTCCCAAGGTTTATTTCCATTTACTTTTGGCTCCTCCCTACATAAAAGTGCACCCACAGAGTTAAAAGTGCTGAAAGCTGTATACATTCAGATTAGAATATCAGATGTTATCAGGAAAGGGGTATGAAGGCTTCATTTCTAGCTTCTCAAAAATACAGAAATTTAAAAATTGCTATCAGCTTGCACTATTCACAGAGCTGTATTGGGCACTGAATAGGAACTGAATGAAAGAAGCTTCTTGCAACATTTTTCTTACCGTTTACTTTCTGCTAGTACTCATCTCAGTCTTCATAAATACTTACCTACCAACGAAAGGCTACTGCAAATGAGGGGAAGCATCGGATCTTCTAATTTCTGTAGCAATAAAAACAGCTTCTGAATTATCTTTGTATGGTGCTCCTGGTGAATTTTAACTACCCTGCATTCTGCAGGACACTCAAACCTAATAAAGCTCCATATTAGGTTTATAAATTGTTAATAAGAAGTGGTAGATGTATACACTGCATGGCATTGTATTGGGAAATAAAAGGTTTTAGCTGTTAAAAAGGTAGAGATAATTTATTGCTACAGCTGCTTCTGTATCTCTTCGTGCGAATGTAAATTACTTAATGAATTGGTCATAGTGCAGTTACAGAACGATGGTTATAATAACACTTTTCCATCGAAGCCTATGAAGAACCAATAAAACATTAATTTCTGTTCTCAGGTACGTGCTTGTTATGAAATCAGTATCTATTGCAATATAAATATATTTTGGAATTTAACTCTTTACTTTTGATTTCAACGGAGAAGTTAAAGCTGTTGCTTTGCTACTTGCATGCTTGTCAGCAGTGCATACTTGGCATGTGTGACTAGCAGTTCAATTTCTAAGCAAATTACAGCATTAGGGTCTTGCTTTGATACTGGTATTGACACTTCTTGCTGGAATGAACTGCCCTACCTTGCCTTCTGGCCAAAACCATCAATTCTCTTGATAATCAGTGTTGTGCCTTAACTGTGGGGAAACTTACTGACAAAACTAGAGTTTATATTATTGGAGTTACATTTTTAATTCACGTCAGCTTTTTCCTTGGTAAAATTGCAGTTCATCATTAATAATTGGGTCTTGGTCATGTCTTTTGTACCCCAACACGTTATTTCCTTCTTGGTGGCTGAGGAACTGTGGATTTCCCAAACTACTCTAGAAGTCAAATGGCTCCGATCTCTTTCCTTATGCTGACCTCTGAGGTAACACGAAGCTATCTCATCGTGCTAATGCGCAGAGACAGCAGCATTTCAGAAGCTGGACTCCTCCAGCTCTGTGGTGAGCAGAATGATGGTGATAAACCACAGGCGTTGTTTCTTATCTCACCTCATCACTATCCTGTCTGCTTCAGTTCTGTTGATTTTGCATTCCAGCCACAGACGGTTTCAAGCTTTTCATATTTTGTCTGTCCTTGCAGGAGTTCCTAAAATAAGCACTAAGAAGTACTATATTTTTTCTTAATATTACCTATGGGGAATAACAAGACTAGGTTTTCTCATGGCGTGAGAATAAGTTCTTCTCTCCAGGTATATTGGATAACATGACATGAATACTTTTCCCACCATTAGTATGTTTCAGCATGGGTAAGTTGAAGTCTGGGGTTCAGAGCAAAGGTGATGTGAATAAGCAGTGTTCAGTGTGATGTACCCAGGCATCGTAAACACTGAGCTCTTTCTGTGTAGCCTAGGTTACTTGTTGGAAACCCCTGAAGCAAATTCTGCCTTTCAGAATACAATTTTCTCATCTCCACAGCCCTGTGATGTGTTCTGCTCTATGGTTCTTAATTCAGACTGTTGGGGCTGCGAATCTGTTTTGTGAGAATCTCTCTACGAGTTATGTATTGTGTATATAGTCTGTAATTAGGCCAACGTATGCAGAGCTCTGCCAACTTCAGCGTCACTGATGCTGCTCACAGCTACGCAGTTTTGGTGTCAGGACAACCGATAGCACAATTTAACATGGCAGGTACACTATAAAAGCTTTTACTACTTGATTTGAGACCTAGTTTGGGGAATACTCAAGGAAATATCCCTGTAAGAAGTTCACAGTGGAGTTCCAGCAGCACAGCTAACCTGTTCCTGTGGGAGAGGCCGCGTTGACTTGGCACACACAGAGTTCTGCAGTCATGGAATGGTGGTCAAAGCTAAGCTTTTTTTCCACAGGCCCGTAGAGGTGATTTATAGGAGAGGTTCATGAACATGTGCTTTCTTTTCCTTATTTGCTCCCCTGAGGAATTGCATACAAAGCCATTTTAGGATCAGATCTGCTTATCAACAGATGCAGCTTAGGAAAGAGGAGGGTTCATCATGAGGTATCTGATGTGAAAGGCTGAGTACCGCAATCACAAGTTCATGTTCACTCTTTTCTGGTGCTTTGTCATGCTGTATGTGCTTCTCTGTCCACTCTTAGGTTGGGACAAGCCTTGTCTGCATGAGACAAAGCAAAAGGCATAAAACCTCAGCCCCTCTTCCCTCCTGCCAAAGAAACGGACCAAACCAACCCAGGAAGCAATCTGTAACCTGACGTGCATGAGCTCCATTGGTGGAGCGGGTATCTAGGTCCCCAAGGTTGGCAGGACCAACGCCCCCATGTAATTTCATATTGTTACTCCCTGAAAATGGAGCTGTTGGCCAGTGGCAGTCCTTGCAATGCTAATAATTGCTGCTGAGGTGATTGCTAGCTGTGAGTTCACTGCTGGTAGCTTCTCTCTTGCTCTAACAGGACACAACAACACAATCCTGATGTTGGGCCCATCTCTCCTATTCCTGTCCTGTTCTTGTTGCAACATGGGGAGCACACTTTTCTACTTTTCAAAGGCTCTGTGAGGTTATATATGTTAACATTTGACTCATTCACTGCCAGTGAATGGTTGTATTAAAAAAAACCCAGACCCATTATTAGTCTGTATTATCACAAAACTGCTGTGCACTTTTACCTTGATCAGTCTGTGATGTGGTGCTTGCATAGAAATTATCTTAAAGGGCTACATGCTCTTACATGCAAATGAAATGAATGCAACTTCTCAGGAAATAGTAACATTTTTTTAGTGTGGTGTTGTAGGTAATAATGTTGAGATGTCCAAACCCACCTCAGGCACTTGAGCACCTGTTCCTCACTGATGTTTTAAATGGGATTAGGGCTTCTGTTTTCCTTAGGTTGCTTTGAAATTCACAGTTAAAGGCTCTTGAAGATAACGGAACTCCTTTTATGTCTTAAATAAATGTTATCAGGCCGAAGTGTTCAAAATCTTCTTGCTAAAAGTGTTTAAAATGTTGGATGAATATTTAAACATGCAGAAAACATAAGACCAAAAAGCTAATACTAAAATTTCATGTGCTAATACGAACTAAGCTTCCTAAGTTGTCCACCTGCTACCAGGGGACGTTACATGATTGAGCTTGTATTTTCAGCCATAATAGAAAATGTCTAGAAACCAGTTTTCTTTATCCAAGGACTACATTCATTTCTAATAACATCTAGTCATTTAAACAAGCTTGTGCTGGCTTATGAATAGTAATAGACTGTACTTTGGGTTAGGACGAAGAAACATAAATCACTAAGTGTCAGGCAGCTTAGAAACCAGTATGTCCTCATGATTGTTTAATAGAGTACAAAGGGAATTGCCTTCAAGCTAGTGAAATCTTGTATCCAGCCGCCCATCGGTGATGCTTCAAAAAAAAGAAGAGAATTGTTCTCTTACGAATCTTGGTATAAAAATTTAATTAGCAGCTGACTTCTTTCTGAAGATGAAAAAAAGTGATTTCTTTTTATATGGTCACTTTCCTTTAACTGTTTACATTATATATCTGTATTATTCACTCAGACAAGATCTGCCGCCTTCAATATCTATTTTTTTTTCCTCCTTTAATAGTGATTTTGAAATTATTTTGTCCGGTTTCACCAATTTTTTTTTTCCATGATGTTCCAGCATATTTGAAAACTGTTCTTGGAAGAAATTCAGAAAACATTTAGGAAGAAATGGATACAGAATCAAATCTAATATGGAGTGGATACAAAACTGCTGTTATTAAAAAAATAATAATTATAATAATTATTACTCTCATTGATAGATTTGTTGAAATGAATCTTTGTTTAGATGAGTACAAGGAACAGGAGCATATACTAATCAGCAAATCAGTCCTCAGTTGATATCAGATGGAGTGGATACAAAACTGCTGTTATTAAAAAAATAATAATTATAATAATTATTACTCTCATTGATAGATTTGTTGAAATGAATCTTTGTTTAGATGAGTACAAGGAACAGGAGCATATACTAATCAGCCCTCAGCTGATATCAGATACTATTTATCTTATTATTCAAACCTCTTCAGCATGTGTTATTTTGCCTTTAAAGGAATTACATCTTATTACTTCACACGTTTGTGGCTTCATAGTGTGATTCCTGTGAGGACTATGATTTTGATTTTTGTTTAATGTCTCAGATTTAGGCATCTATACTTTAATCTTAGCTTTCTTACATTACAAGGAGACGGGAAACAAAAGGACAAGAAGAGCCCCAAACCTTTAACGCTGTTGGCATTTGCTCATAATGTCAAATGTCATGATGTCAAATTAATTAAATCTCTGGTCTAATGTGACATGTTTTCCAAAAGTGCAGTGGTGCACGGATATACTGTGATCACCTTGAAGCATAAATGTTTGTGCATTGTTTGCTTTTTTTCAGTTAGTAGGAATGCTTCAAGCCTGGATACGTCAAAGAACGTGTCTCTGCTTCAAGGCGTTCCTTGGCGTATTCATCAGTCCCCATGCTTTGAGAACTGCCGCAAAACAGTCAGACCAGCAGATACCTGAGGGAGTATGTCAGAAAATATGTGATGGCTGAAAGATATAGTCGTTAAAACTTGAAACTCAACTGGCTTCTTTAACTTATTGTATGCCCAGACATGCATGTGCTTATGTATTTATGTTTAGATGACAGTGATATACGTCCTGGCCATCAGCCTGTATACATCTCTGTAACAGATGTTAAATCCTGGACAGTATAGCTGTGAACTTTGCTGTTCAGGTCTCCCAGGTGACATGTGTTGGATGTCATACCCAAGCCTGTGCCTTGATTTGCCAACTGAACCCTTTCAATCAGCAGTTAATTGCTTCTAGCTGTTGTCAGTATCTTTAAAGACTGAAAGTAATATACTTTAGGGCGCTCAGTTGAAATTTGGAAACATTGCTTGCATTGTCTAGAAATAAACCTTTAGTTTTCCAGTTGAAAAGAAAAAATCTAAAAGTGAATTTTTCATATAAGAGGTGTTATATTTCCTGGAAATGGTAGTCTTTAGAAATGTTTCACTCTTCAATATATTGCACAACCTTAAAAAAAGGTTTAAGTTTTCATTTTGAAAACACTAAAACAAAGTGTTTTGACATTGCTGAAATTCACCCTGCACCTTCTTTGGCGAGCAGAGTCAGAGTCTGGATTTGAAGGAGCTGACTGTAATAGTAAATATTCTTGCAATACCAGGCCACTTCAGTTTCCAGAAGAATCTTGTTGCCCATGTAGGTCAGTAAGGGAAACGTAACTATTGGTACAAGTGACAGGATTGTGTTTAACTTGTTTGGCCCTCAGATTTTTTTGTTTTCCTTGAAGAAGAAGAGATTGGTTGGGCTCTTTGGAGTAGACAGAGTTCTATACCTTCTGTCTAGTGGGAGTCTGAGTGTGCTCAGGTAGGGGGTTCGTAGTAGTATGTGCTGGGGATGTGGGAGACCAGCTACTGCAGAGATCATAGACTACAGTGAGAAATTGAAGAACAGCTGGTCAGCCCTCAGTAGGGATAAAAATAAGGATTTCCTAAACCCCAGAAGACTGGATAAGGTTTGCTGTTGTTTAGGAAATTGTTGACCTGGATAGATTTGAGGATGCATCTTCACCGGGGGGCAATTCCATATGTATGGTTTGGTTTTACTCTGCTTAACAAACTACTTTGAGCTTTTTCCATTTACAAAGTCAATAGTTGTAGCTGTTACTTGTGTAAAACCTGGTTTTGGAGGGGTTTAAAGCCCTTGGCTTTGGGACATTTACAGTAGAAAAAGGTTTGGGCCATGACACCTCAGTGTTCTGGCTCCATGGGCTTATTGGGTAAAACCAGTCTGTGGAAAGCTGGTCCCTGTGTCTTGTCTCATCAGCTGTTCTTTCAGTCCTAGTAAACTAGCCTGGAAATGAGTCATGTAAAGTGAAAGCAAAACTTCCCAGAAAGTCTGATATGATGTCAAAGCTAAGAAGGGTTAAAGGATAGTGATGGACTCCGTGGAAAAAGGAGTATGGTTTAAATGAAGGCAGACAGTGTATGTAGTCCTAAAAAGCTTTTGAAACTTCCTACTACAAAGATCACAAAACCTGCTTCCTCTTTCAGTGTCACACAAAAGACACCCACACAAACGGTTTACTTTCTATGTAATAGTGTAACCTCAACATCTTACTTGGATGCTCTTCATTTCAAAATAACATAATTACAAAACTGGGGGGGGTTTGTTTGTTCATTTGGTAGATTGGTTCTCTTCATCCATCCGTCTGTCTGTCTGTCTATCTATGAGAGCTAATTGACCTGAGAATGAAACTAACATTTTGGTAGAATGAGACATTTCTGGTAGAGCTAGATTATTCTGAAGCTTGACAGCCAAATCAGAATGCTGGCAATCTGAAATAAGAAGAAATGTGTTTTTACAAGGCTATCCTGGTTTAGGAGTAAGTCTCTTTTGGAGATATTCTCTCAAGTTACCTGTTCTTTCTATCAGTAGAAGGAATTGTCTGGGCTGCTGCTTTCTCTCTGCTTTGTGATTCTGCAAGTACAATGTCATACTTCAAAGCCTGGATCTTGACATTTGAAAGACACATCTTGTATTCAATATCTGGTATATAATTTCTTCAGTGTAAAACATCTGCTATGTGATTTTTCTAATCCCGCAATACTCTTTGCACACTTTTCCCACAAAAAATAAAATGGCAATTTATTCTCCACAGTAACGTGTATGGAACTTTTAGAGAGTTGTAGAATGTGGAGTTTAAAAAAATCATTTTCTGAAGGGTATATTTATGAAGGTTGTATTACTAAAAGTCAGTGAGGTAGGATAGCAGTGTATTATAGGGATAATTCATGCATGCTATACTGTAATTAACTTTGGGGTAAGTTTTAAATCAGCAGGACTCTTCTGGGTTTTTTGGTCATCATTTCAAGTTGTAAAAGAAAATTTGATCTTTAATTATTATTTTCAGTTTTACAGAATTTTTGGATCCATTCCAGAGGGTCATCCAGCCAGAAGAGATCTGGCTGTATAAAAATCCTTTAGTGCAATCAGACAACATACCTACACGTCTTATGTTTGTAAGTACTAAAGATTTATTGGTCGTTTGATGGCTGTAAACTAAGTACAGTTACATTTGATAAGAAGTAGGAAATCGTTCAGTAGTGGAGAATGTTGCTTTACTTATATAAAGAATTGTTTTCCAAATCAGGGATGTCCAAAATAGCAAAATGTAAGAAATCAGGGAGTTTCTAAAAAGCTGCATTACCAGGTGACTGAATTTATGAATGTTGATTTTACAGTTTAAGATTTAGGCTAGTGTTAATTTAGAGGGATGCTAGAGAAATGATTAGAGAAGCTTTATGAATTAGCTAGTTGAGTGACCTGATGAAACCTTGCCATGCTCTTATTAGTTTAAGTGCTTAAATTTTAAAATCCAATTTGTTTTAGGCACTGAGATATTGGCCTCCAAATACTCTTTTTTTTTTTTTCTATGTAGACAAAACCTTTGTTTTAGCTTCTGCCAACAACCATAATAAATATATATCATAGAGCTGTTCTGCTGTCACCATTCTTCTGGCTCTCTCCAGCACGGCTCATGTTGACATGCAGCCTGGCTGTCTGATATTGATGGTTTGTCTGGTTATCAAAATTCATGGTTTTGATAACCTCCACTGGCAATGAAGGTTAACAGTTGTAATAATCTACATATTAAGAGTGCAGTAAGATAGACCACTACAGAAATGCTAGGAAATTGTGGGTATAGTTCAGGCTATTAAAACAAGTAGTTCAGTCTTTGCAAAAGCTTCATCAGTCAGAGTGGAGATTTTGCAGGAACAGGCATGACAGATGAGGTCAAATTGTAGAACCCTTACATCAAAGCATTCTTCCTGTGTCTTCAGTGAAGCCAGAATTTTACTGTTCAGATGAAGGATTGAATTCAGAATAAATGCAAAGCAGCTATGTAATTTTCTTCAGTGTTGTTTTAAAAAAGAAACAAACAAAAAATTACAAAAACCCCAAACCAAACAACCAAACAAAACCAAAAAAACCCACCCCAAACAAACAAAAAACAAAACAAAACTCAGACCTTCAGTTATGGAAACTTTAAGTAAGTAAGGAACAACTTCAAGGTGCTTCCTATATATGGGGTGACAATATATCCCAGCCTTCTAAGACAGAGGCCAAAGGCCTGGTTTTAAATTCACCAACATATTGCTTATATTCCATCAAGAACCAGCTATCAAGGGCTCTGGGTGAAAATGTATGCTTTTCCTGAAATGGAGACAGATGTGTAAGAACAACAACAACCAAAAAAAACCCAAACAAAGCATTAAATTGTTGTGCTTGGAAAGACTCTGAGTTTAATTCTGCCATTTTTCCTCATGCTGGGCATGACCACCTTGCTATGTGGTTACTCTGATCTGTGTTTATAACTGAAGAGTTGGACAATCAGCAGTGAATCATTGTAAGGGGTTTGCGGCAGTAGCGAAACTGTTTTTGAAACCAGTAGGGATACTCATTAGTCCATCCTCTGTTCCCTCGGCAGTAGCCACTGGGAAGCACATTTCTGGGATATGTGTAGTACAATTCCCTGTTAAACACTTCCAATAGCACCAACTTTTGCTGCACTTCATGTCAAGTGGAACTTGCAGGCAGCTCTGATTAACAGTTGTGTAATTTGTGTTCTCTTTCTGGCTCAGACAATTGACAGTTGGCTCAGTGAACACCTTCTTAAATTAAGAAATGTAGATAATTTCTAAATGGGGTTTTTTTTCTTGTTTCTTTAATTAAAAAAAAATTCCAACTCTAACATTGATCACAAGCTTTCATCATGTAAAGAATTTCTTGCCACTGGTGTTGTTTGTACTCTGATATTGAAATGTATGGCTGTGGCTTACCAGAAAGCAATCTCTCAGACTTTAAGAAAGGCTGGATTATTTTATATGCTGAGAGATTTGAATTCGAGAGAAATGTTGTGAACACTTCAAACCTAGGTATCCAAATTAGACAGCGCTGACTACGTGGGTAGCAAGCAAGCCATGGGAACTGGGAAGACCTGAGCCTTGTTCTGTCTCTCTATCAGTGGGTATTTTTTGTCTTGGAAAGTCTAAGGTAGCATCAACTGTTCTTGAATACATGAAAGTATGTGGGAGTCCCTGTAACTTCAGCATATCTCTGGCTTGCCAGGATGAATAATGAACAGGAGAGATTTTGCCCATGTTTCGCAAAATGTAAGGCAATGTTGGAATATTTCACTGCTGGAAAATAAAACATTACTGAGATGCATCTGAGGAGACTATTGCTCATTAGACTGTTGCCAAATTTGTCATGGGTCTAAGCCATACAGAATCTTTTTGTAAAATAAATAAAAAGGAGTCTTTAGCAAGCCAAACTTCCCTTATATGTGCATTTTGCTGCAGAATGAAAAACACCTTCCAGCTAATGCCTTTGTGTAAGGAACAGCAATGTGCTGCAAACATAAATAGTTCTTCATGTCTTTCAAAAATCCATATGTTGGTAAAATATGAGGAAATTACCAGTTTTACCAGATTTCTGAAGATTGATTGTGAATTGGTTTGGAACAAGCTGCCACTTGAATTCTATTCTTTGTTGATATTTGCTGCTGCTCCTGCTTGTTCAAAAGATTTCTGACTCCATTAAACCACCACTATAAGCCTGTCAGCCTGGCTATATTTCTACATGTTCTTCAACAATGAAATGCAGATATCTTATTTTCTTTCCTGGTGGTAATCCTTATTTTTTAGAATGAAACTAATAATTCTAGGTTTAACTTCACTCCCCCCCCCTGGTTCTGTCTTTGAAATGAGAAATTAAACTATTCCTGAGGATAGAGAGAAATGAACATCTGTGGAGCAGCAACAGGGCACTGTCATCCTAACTTAAATATCACACACACTGTGCACAGAAAAGAGTTTTAAGTGGAAATGGTGCATCTTTTTGCACCAAAACTGGTGCCTGCCTTTCTAAATGTACAGAAGGGCAGCAGACCCCAGGCTGTGTTTTAATCTGCATGGCTCACTGAGATAATGTTTTGCAGATGCAGATGAGGGGTATCTGGACCAAGATGCACTACCAAAGCAACAACTGTAGTGCATTTTCATGTTGGTCACTACTCAGATATTCTACAAGCATAAAATAAGGACTGGGATAATCTGTATTATAAAAAGAAGAGTCTCACACATCTTTTATCATAACAAGTCTGTCCTATCTGTTGTTTATTTCAATGAGACTGTTTAAGAAGTAAGGCACAGTCTCAGTAAAGACAGCACATTCTTACTTATTCCCTGGAACCACTTGTGCCACATACAGCTTAATTTTTGCCTTGTTTAAAAAAAAAAACCATTCATTTTCAATTTTCTTCAAGAGAATAAATGCTTTTGAAAGACCTTGATTTGTTTTTGAACAAATTATATTGTTAAGAGGTTTGCAGATTCCAGAAAGGAATTGTTTAACTTGGACTGGAACCAGCAAGAAGCACAAACGGACTACCTTGCCTACAAGTTGCCTTTTACCTCTGCACTTGAAGATCTGAGACGGAAGGGATGATGGAGGGACCAGTTGGGGACAAAATCATAGCTCCATGGCAAGCTAGTAATGAAAAATTCCCTAGTATTATGCTTGGGAGAAACTGGTATGTCTCTGGAAAAAGACAGTTAATACCTGCTCTGGGAGGACAGACTGCAGTATGCAGACATTGCATGAAGTAGGATGCTTTTTGGATAACTGGCACATTTACAGTGAATCATCAACCATAGTCCAAATTGCTCTGTGAGATGCAGTTCGTGGAAATCAAGTGTGTGCATTGACGTGCAGATGCCATTTCAGGTTCCTTGTAGGAGGAATCCTGTCCTACAGCACTGACAATAGAAGAATATTGTTCTGCTTAACCAATGAGTATGCTTGTAGGCGTTTGGGTAGTGTTTTTCTGGTTTTGAACAAAATCAAGCAGTTTGCTCCACATTCAAACCCTTGTAAAGGAAAGAATTGTAAAGACATGATCTTCTCAATGCATCCAAGACTGAAAGTTAAAAAGAAAACAAAAAGTATAATAAAGAGCATTTTAAAATGTCAGGAAGTTGGTGCTGTAGTTGGTTATGTTGAATAGGGTCCTGCTGAGAGCACAACCTGGACAGGCTGCCTTCTGGAGCAATGCTTAGCATGTAAAAAATGTACAGGATCCATATGGATCAGTGTATGAATTTTGTATACCTTATAGACTGTTGCTTTTTCATTTACAAAGCTGACATTTTAAATGCAGCTCCAGGCAATTACAAATCAATTATAGCCCACAGTTATATTGCAATTTGAATGTTTTCGTTTCCCTATAGTTGCAAAGACAAATCATCCCACTTTGCTTAAGGTCAGGAGTTTGATAAAGATCATTCAGCCTTCCAGTTTAAATGGAGCTAACTGGAACTAATTATTAATCAGTTGGACTGAAATGGAATTGATGGTCTTGCACATGATATTTGTTATCTCTTACAGGCAATTTCGTTCCTTACGCCACTAGCAGTCATTTTTGTGGTGAAAATAATCCGTCGAACAGACAAGACTGAAATTAAAGAGGCTTTCTTAGGTAATGTATGTCATACTTCGAGATGGAAAATGTGTGATAGCTCTCTGAGATTGATTCCAGTTGTAGTCTAAGCCTTGAAGAAAACCTGTCTCTGATACAGCCCATTACAGTTGTTTTCAGTGCTGTTATAGCTGCAAGCCGTCTCACAAAAGCTGTTGTTTTTATGTATGTTTCTAAATGTACAAATTCTGGGTCTTAATTCCACAATCTGGCTAGCAAGGGCCAGAATTTGATCAGCACAGACAAGGCTGTCTGAGAGGCTGTTCAGATGTATATTTTTCTGTCACAGCCAATCTATTACTTACCTCTTCCTTATACCTGCAGCTATTCTAAATTAAGAGTTTGACTGGAAGGTCCTGTGAGACTGCTTTATGTTCAGGTGTACTGTACATTAGTTTGATTCAGATGGTGTGGACTGCAGCATTAAATCAGTTTTAATCTGAAAGGAGTGTTTGCACTGGATCCAAGCGCCACTGAAATCAAGGCAGAGATATCCACACGCTTCAGATGAGGCTCTTCAGAAAGTCTAGGGACTTGGCATGCAAGTACAAACAAAGAAGGTGGTTCAGTCGTAGCTAGTATGACAGTTTCTCTTTATTACTCCAGTCTTATTGGGGAAAATTGGTTAAACCTAGCAGCAAACGTAAATGTCAAGGTTTATAGTTATAACTTTCATGACTTTTTGAAAGAAAAATTAAAAAAAAAATCCAATTCTAGTGTTAGCCAAAAGGCAATTCTTTAGCCTGAAAGTGGACTGTTTAATTGCATCACACATATACATATATATACTTACATAAACACACACACACGTGTGTGTATATATATCTTACCTAAAAGTCTATACAGGAAGTGTAAGATTTTTATCTAGTAAATTGCAAAACAGATAAACACAGTAAATGATTCATAAATAATTGGTTCCATCTGATGATTTATGCCTGTGCAAATGGCATGGTATGAAAACTGGCTTTGAATAAGGAAATAAGATTTCTCAAGAGTAAGAGCAGAACAAACCCATGTGATTCTTATGATGCTCTGGGGTCTGTCCTTAGTCTGGGTAATAAGAAAATCAGTAGGCTGCAATGATCATTTGGTTTTAGGCCAAGTAAAGGTTTCAGTCTGTAAATCAAATGCTGTAATGCTGCAATTTATAGCTTGGTATTGAGGTTATTATTTTTCTGTTTGTTCGTTCTGTTTTGTAGCAGTTTCCTTGGCTCTAGCTCTGAATGGTGTCTGCACAAATACTATTAAATTAATAGTGGGAAGGTAAGTCTTGTCATGTTATAAATGATAGCTTTAACTGTTAAGAGAAATGAAGACATTGACAAATACAATACATCTTAATAAAAAAGATAGCTGCTCTTCCAAAGCACATTGAATTGGAACGGGCCCCTGTGAGACTGTCCTTTCCCTGGTGCAGGTGTTGTACAACTTCATTATGTGACATCCAACGGTGGCAGGAAGATATCTATGCCCTTGTGTTTTGTTATTTGTTAGACTGTTTGGTGGATCCAGACAAATGAGGGGTTGGAAAGGAAAGGTGTGAGCTGAAATCAGTTCATTAAATTGGCAGCGCAGAAGGGAAGAGTCACAGCATGTGGGAGTTTAGGTGCCAGTGGCACTAGTCTGATTAAATAGGAATCAATCGAGTCTCTATATAACCCAGTGCCTGCATTTTGTGTGAAGTGTATTACTGAATGTGGTATTTCCAGGTAACATCAAGATCTATGACAAAATAAACCTTGGAGCTAAGCAGTAAGTGGACTCCTAGGTAGGCTGCTTTTTTAAGGAAGCATATATTTACATGAAGGACTCAGAAAAATACTAGCGAACAGATCTCAGTATTATTATTTTTTTTTTTAGGTATTTTTTGGCTCTTTATCAAAATTTTGAATTATTTAAGCTCAAAAAATATATATTTGATGTGAATTCATACACTACTTAATAGAGTCCAATGCTGTGTTGTCCACCTGTTCTGCAGCATTGAGGAAGCAGTGTTTGTGCTTAGTTTCTGATGAACCCACTCTGGTATAGTACTGATGCCCTGACAATAATGGTACTTGGCACTTTTATTTTAAGAGTGCTTTCAAAATATAATTAAGAATGTCTGCACCATCTTCTTCAGACAGACATGAGCTCATTTTGCCTGCACTCCAAGGCAACTCGTTGCCCTATCAGCTTTTCTCCAAATCTATGGTTATTCGCCTTGCTTCTCTACATGGTGTGTTAGCTCAGGATCAGTATGACGCTAGTCAAACCTACGTGCTATCATTCAGCTCAGAGCAGGGTTAAAAGAAACTCAAGAGGTTTGTTCAGTGCAGTAAGAGACAGCATCAAGGCTGGCATTAGAATTTGGTGGTTGTTTTGGTGCCAGTCTTGTAGCCGAAGTTACAGCCCTGTTCTCAGCTAGACGTGTCAGCAAGTCTTGTGCCACTTTGTCAGGTTTCTACTTTGCTCTGTCACTGGAAGTGCTAGGCAAGATTGATTGTTCTAGGCAAGAGTAACCCTGAGTGATCCTTTCCAGAGAAGACTCCCACTTGCATGCTGCACTGGCAGCTTCCCTGGGAGAGCCTGCCTGCCAAAAAAGTGACCTCAAATTGAGGGACATGGTTTAGTGGACTTGGCAGTGTTAGGTTCACTGTTGGACTCTATGATCCTAAGGGTCTTTTCCAGCCTAAATGATTCTGTGATTTCTGCTGCTGTGTTAAGTCAGGAGGGAACGAAGTCTGTATGTAATAAGCAGTAAATGTAATAATCGCTTTGAAGTTTATTTGTTACTACAGCTTTTATATTTTTAATATCCATGGTGTTTTTTGTAGACCGCGTCCCGATTTCTTTTACCGCTGCTTTCCAGATGGAGTAATGAACTCTGAAATGCACTGCACAGGTGATCCAGATCTGGTGTCTGAAGGCAGAAAGAGCTTTCCAAGTATCCACTCCTCCTGTAAGTTCATTTAAACACAGTGCCTCTTTCGTAAAACCCTTTTAGGTTTTTCTTTCGTAAAAACCTAAAACCCTAAACCCTATCTATGTTTTGGAATTGCTCTTTTTTTGTTCGATCATGAACCTGATTTTTGCTGAGCGGGGCTAGACTTCTGTCTCAGGTTCACCACACGTAGAAATTTCTTTCTGGAAATGAAATTGTGAGCCTGCGATCATTCCTTATCTTGAGAACGACCTGACTTCACTGACAGCCGTAGCGGGGCTATCAGTAAGGTGAAGCACTACTTGAGTTTAAAGAAATAGTGTGGTTCTGAGGGGATATCTGTTCCCTAATGCAGACCTCTGTAAACAAGCACTGACTACATAGTAAACATTTATTTTGTTATGTTCCATGGAAGTATGAAATATAACAAGGTACATTTGACCTGCATAGTTTTGAAGGTCTAGTTAATATCTTCCAAGTTCTGGATCTGTTAAACCAAATTTGAAGTCCCAAAGACAGTTCAACTCCTTTTATCAGTAAGTTTTCTTTGTGGGATGTTGTATGCTTGAAGGTGGGAAGGGATAGAAAGGAATACACAGAGATCATGTCACATAGTTTTGGTGCTGTTCATCCTAAGGAACTGGGGACAAAGTGAGGTTCAGTGATTCCTCATAGCACTAGAAGCTCTTGTAATATGCCACTAGAAGGCTGATTCTTTCATTCCCTATTTTTTTACTGTTTTGACAGTATCCACTTCTGGCTGTGGCTAAAGAAGGGATCCTTGTCTATGTGGGCCTTGATTCTGAGCGGTTCTTACACTTCCATGTTCAGATGCCCACTGCCAATGGAGTGCTTTGCCTGGGCACATGCAAATGTAAATGGTAGCTCTGCCACCAGCTCAAGCAAACAGAGGATAGGTAGCATGAGTTTTCTGTCAGCATGACAGCATGGTGGTATCAATAGTATCTTATTTAGAGGAGCAGGTGGGCAGGGAACAGAGATAAATCTGGCACAGTTTGGAGTTTCTGTGGTTTCTTGTCTGCTTCTAGGGCAACACAGTCACTCCATTTGGCTTTGAGGTGGTCCTCATTCTAGGTGGTTTGATCAGCTACTCCTTGTTTATGCGGTATCCTGACAGACGTTTAGGTGGCTTTATGAAAATGCCTGTCTGTTTTAATTAGTTGTATTAACTCAGTTGTTTACAAAGGTTCCTTTTTCTGCCTTGAGGAGCTGAATCCTAGAGTGTTTTATGTCAAGTGTCTAATAAAACTTCTTTTCATCTGTAAAATAACTTGATTACTGTGAGCTGCTTTGTTTTTTTCTGGCCAATATTTTTTGTTGCCTTGTGCTGTTCTGTTTCCAAGAGCTGCCAATTGAGTACCACTAGGTCATATCTCTGGAAATTTTTTTTTTTGCTATTTTTTTTTAGAGCTGTAACTTCAGATTGTGTAATTATGCAGAATTATGTATTGCAAACAAGTTGAGTAATGAAATGAATGAATTTATGAGCTGATATTGCTCCCTTTTACTTGTTTCAGTCCCAGAAACAGATAACAGAGTAGATGATTGTGGAAATGTTAAAAGGTTTATAGTCCTAAACAATAATTCAACATAGCTGTCTCAAATTTTGTTTATAAGGTTAGTTTACATTAAAGAGACAATAGCAGAATGGATCGAACACTGTTCAGAACAAGTGGTATTTATTGCTATTTGTACTCTGTCTTCAGTTCTGGTTGGCTAAACCAAGACATTGTCACAGTTAACACAGGGGTTTACAATTATTTCATCAATGTAAAACAACAAAGGCTTAAAATAAGCGTGTGTATACACTACTGTACTAGAATTTACAGAATAGCCCTCAGTAAGTGTTACAGATGGTCACTTTCCTTTGCTGGAGTGCAACAGTTTACTCAGAGGCTGCAAAGGGTGAGTTGCAGAAGACATCCTATCTGCTTTTGGTTTTGCACAGACTACACGCTGTATGTGTCGCATCCTCTGCTTAGCTCTGGCACACAGACTAGTTCTCTTACTGAGGCTGCTTGTCACACAGTGCAGAGCTTTGTCCCTGTGCCAGTGGTGCATCCTTAGAATCATTACCAGGGTTTTACTTTTAACTGGTATTGGTTTTATAAGCACCAAGTTAGGTTACTGCAGCTCACACAAAATGCAGTAGGGGCAGAATTGTGGTCCAGTGTATTTAAATCAAAATTATGAGAACAGCTTTCTCCATCACTGACTAATATAACATTAGCATGTGACTGAGTTGACTGTATTTCCCACTACAAAGCCTTTTATTGCAGTGTGATAAGAATGAAAAGATATTCTATAGGCAGTCTATGTATGCTAGTGTGAGGCAGTTCTGCAGCTGCTTGAAGTACTTAGCTGTTTTAAGCCTCATGTTAACTACCTAAGTCTCTGACAAGAATGTGTGTTCGGAAGCCTTAAAATCCATATGCATTTTCGTCTCGTAATGGCAAAGGAAACAATTTAAATTTGCTAACCTTACAATGTTCACCTCTGCTCCTGTGTAGCAAAATTGTTTAGGTAACCCCGATTGTCAGTATTATTTTATCAAGAATATTTTTTAGCTGTGATAATAAATTTAGTTTCTTGCTGTTACTTCATCCCCCACTGGACTAAAGAGTGAAAACAAAAAGATATTATGGGAAACCCAACATTATACTGCCTTTCTGGAGCTATGAAGCAATGAGGTTTTTGAGGATATAATAATTCATGTTTGGAAATTTTGCTATAATTCTACTTTTTCAGTATTTTGTTTTGTGTAATATGTGAATTACGCCTGTTCTGTCTCCTACTCCCTCTGAATAATTATCATCTCAGTTTTAAAAAGCTGTCCTTCCTGCCTTCTTAACATGTAGGTAATTGCAACATTTCCTTCCATTTTTTCTGTACTCCTTTCCCCCTTCAGCATAAGATTGCTACTAGGCAAAATGAAGGAGTTCCATTCTTCAGATTTCTGCCATCCTTTCTCTGTTTGTTGTGGAATTTGTGAAGCAGCACCACGCATTTTATTTTTTGGTTGTTTGTTACTGTTTGTAAGGTTTTTTTCTATTTTCATGGCTGTGGGTATGTAAGTGGAGAGGATGAGAGTTGACGTAAACTATAGTACCTCTCTGGGAATGATAGTTACAAGTAAACCACTACAGTTTGGTATTTCTCCTTCACTTGAACACATGAAGAAAATACATCACAAGTAAAAGCTGCCAGGCAGCTCATAAAGTGAGGTTAGAAGCTTCGGTCAAGAGCCATTTTCATTTTCAAAACAGTTTTTCTTAGAGCATTCCTTGGACAGGCTGTCAGTCAAAAGCTTTGTTATACCAGGATCTAAAACCTCATCCATGCAAAATGAGGCCTTTAACAATAAACTCCGTGGTGCTGTGCATGCTGTGCTATAAAAATGTAGTGCAGCGATGTATAACGAGTGACAGTACTGACACACCCAGATGGCCAGACATGACCTTGCATCCTCCATAAAAATGTTGTGAACTACCTGTCTTCCACCTGGAGAGTCAACTTGTGCCCAGGAGTGTGTGTTTTCCTTATTAGAGAACCAATTATTTTCTTGGCTTAAATTACCAAGTCTTTCATCTCCCTGTGCCAAGGCGTGCATGTAATACAGATAAGAAAAATGCACAGAGCACAGACTGTTTTGTAAAGCCAAGAGTGATTTGCAGATAGATGCAAACTATGGTTGCCTGAAACTACTGAGGCATTTTGTGCCAAATCAGAACAGGAGGTTGACCTAGGTGAAGACAGTGTTGGTGTTGCTACCTTCTCTGAACAAGGAGCAGAACTCTGCCTGCAGTGGCTGCTGAAAGTGGGCCTTGAGGTGGTGTACCACATTCAAGGCTGCCGTCTCCCAGCTCTGTCTTTTGCTGTCCTTTTCTGGAAAGGTTATTGAATCTAGGGAACTCCTCTTGGGAACTTTTTATAACAGAAACTTGAATTTTGAATCTACGCATGCACAACCCAACATTCAATGACTTCATTGAAATTCACCCAGTAGAGAGTGTTCTATTGTATCAGAGAAGTCCCTGGACCTTCTGGACTCTTTGGAGCATATTTTGGCTCTGGTAATTGATTTAAAGCACCATTTACCAGGACTGCAGGTAGATTTCTACAGGTGGAGAAGGAATTGAGCATACTTGGTCTGTATGATGAACGAATACTAGTAGGCAGTTTAGGGAATGAATAGGTGGAAACTGTGGAAGAGTACAAAAGATAGGAAAAAGAGCTATCAAGGAAAGCATGTTTTAGAAGCACAGTTCCATAGAAATCCAAGTCTTGTTCCAATTGCTGTCTGAAATACATTTCCCTAAGCTTCAAATATGAATCCAGATCATATTCCCAAGTTGTTGATACCAAGTTCTGGGTACAGAGCTCTAAACCAGAGGGAGAATGACACAAGCCATGGCATTTTAACCAAGTCTTTAACCCAGAATTCATCTGTATAAATGAGGCTAGGCCACCAACAGCAAGCAAAAACATGCTGCGAAAGTATTGTGTGTTTATGTTAATACAGTTTAATGAGTGAGTCTTGACTCATTGCCAAAACTGGGTCAACTTCCTGATTAGATCTGACCTTGAATGTTTGCTTATGTTCAGATGTTACCTACCAGGGCAGTAAGTAGACAAAGCACACTGAGCTGGCAGTCAGAAATACGACTGTACTGCATCCAGCCACAGAATGGTCTTGTGTTCCAGTGTCTGGTTATGAGTTTTGTGAACTGTGGTGGGAGAGAAGGTTTGAGGGGAGCATAGTCTACTGATCTCCAGGCGTGGGACTCTTACTGTCATAACGTGCCTGGTCTTTCATGTTTGTTTGTTTATTGGGTAGTTATAAGAAAATATTTTTTTTATTATTATTATTAAACTGTCCAAAGCCATATCCTGTACAGAGAAGAAGTGTGTCCAGAGACCTATTTCATAGCTCAAAAAGCTGACCATTCTGATAGAAATATAGCTTTGCAACAGCAGTGAAACCCGTAGTATTGTAT